TTCCAGCACATATCGTACACAGACAAGTGATAAAACGTAAAGAGATTTTAAGGCATTTATTTTCTCAGGAAATACATTATTAACCTTTAACACATTTTATTTCAGTACGTTTACTATTTTTTTTTTTTCAGATCGGGTGGTGACAGGTAGAGCTCGCCTGAGCGGTCATTGGCTTCTTGTTTCTTTCGCATGAAAGAAAGCCAAAACTGGCTTTTCCACTCCTTCGGCAAGAAAATTAGTAAATTTGGTCAATAATTAAATGTTAAATGGAGGCAGTGACACAGAGCTCTACAAACCATGTCTACTCCATTACTGCACGCTAGCTGTTGCAGCTCCTCCTGTCAAAGAAATATTTGTTAAAATGTATAATAATAATTCACATTTAAGAACTGTTTGTGGGCTGTGCATATAATTTGTCTGGAAAAGCCATCAATTGCCCCATTAATACAGATACCAAACGGCTTCAGTTTATCATAGGAGTCAACATGCTGCAAAAAATTAGGTCCAGGATTAATATACATGCGTCACATCAGCCTCTTCCTCTTTCTTCATTCTACACCCCTTGGGTCCAGAAATTTTAACAGATGCCTCAGTGTTTTCTGAGTCACAACATATTCATGTTGAACACATTTAAGATAATGAAACTTAAATTCATGTAGGCTCCCGTAACTCTCCAGCTGGTCAGTGAGGAAGGTCACCACATCTAGAGGATCTGATTGATTTTTTTCTTCTGTAGAGTTCCAATCTTTGGAGGATTCTTCTCAATGTGTGCATTCTAATACTGATCTTATCCACTGTGTGCAGCAGCATCAGTATCTCTCCGTGTTTAAGACCGAGCATAAAGTAAAACTTTACCAACTCCAGAAACTTGCAATGCACTGCTGAGTAGAGGACATGCTGGATAATAGCATGCTAAGATTACCTGGATAACATCGTTACGATAGTTAGTTCAATCAAAAATCTACTTGGAGCCACAAATTCTTCTTCTAAAATGAGTCTTGCGGTAACTACAGCCTAAAAGCATTCTAGCACAACCATATGGATAAAGTTACCACATTTATGAAATTATACAATATAATTATCACGTTCATACAATATAATTAGCGAAAATGTATTTTCTCAAGTGACAGCAATACATTTCTGTACAAAAGTGATACTCACAGCCTGTTTAACATCATATAGGTAAATGACCAAAGACCTAACATCTTTATCTGTGTCAGAGGTAGTTAGTATTGGAAAGACTTAGATGTGTAATCTGTCTAATTTCTAATTAAATTAGATTTCAAACGATATTTTTATAAATAAAAGTAAAAAAAGCAATGTACTCATCTGTTTGCTAACAGTTGCATTACCAGTCATCAACTGTGTTTCCATTCATTCTAAATAGTTCATTGATTGTTTTCTACTGTTGTCCAAACTATCTGCTCTGACAGAATCTTCAGTGGTGTTCAAAGTTTAATCTACTGCCACTGAAACCATTTAGAGTCCATGAAACTCTTTTTAGTTTAATTAATGAGCAGATGTTCTA